GTTCTTACCTCACACTTCCCAACTCAACTCCCCCCACTACAATGTGATGAGCCTCCAGGAGGACTCCTTCCATCTTTCAGTCTGAACCCCTGTGAGCAGTGGCTGAGGTAGGATGTGGGTTTTGCATTTCTGTCTATTCATGGAGTAATAAGTAGTTACAGGGGAAAGGGTGATACTAAAATTAAACCAAATCAAACCATCAACTTTCATGTATTAGTTTCCTCTCACCTCTCCATCACTTTGTCAAAGGAATGTGTCTGTCATCTTATTCTTCCCTGAAATTGTGTTCAGGTGAAAATTTCCTTTCAAGGCTGTCCTCAAGGGAGAGGAATTGGTGATTTATAAAAGAGAGAAAGAAGGAAGAAGCAAAGAGAAGAGAAGAAATGAGGAAAAACAAATCCAGATGATCTTGGGGGTCTCATTTTCCTCCATTTGGGAGCTTAGGAAGATCATCACTCAACAGAAAAATCATAGATGCTCCTAGCAGCTGAGCTGAGACAGGGACTTATATAACAAGGGCTCTCTGTAAATCATGAACAGTTACATAAAACAGTTACCATTGTTCCAGAGTCAGTGGACTAGTGGTTCTCTTTCCTTAGCATAAAATATGTAGAATTTTGCTGTTGAGGGTCCCTGTCCTAGAGACCTGTCCATGGTGTGTTCAGGCAAGCTATGCCCACGGTGGACAAGGCTCTCTGTGGGATAATGAAAGCCGTTTCTGTGATATTCCTAACAAAAGTTGGAATAGCCTGAATCTAGTCACAAGGAAACATCAGAAATACCAAAATGGAGAGACAGTCTAGAAAATACTTGCCTGTACTCTTCAAGAATATCAGCATCATGAAACACAAAGAAAGACTCAGGAACGGTTCCAGATAGGAGACTAGAGAGACGATGGTGTAAAACAATGTATGATCAGAGATTTCCCTAGGGTGTAAAATATATTAGTAGGCAATTGGTGGAATCTGAATAAAATCTATAGAGTGGTAATAGTATTGTATCAGTGTTAAAATCTTGATTTTGATCATTGTAAAGTGGATATATAAAAGGATGTTTTCGTTTGTAGAAAATACACACTAAAACACTTAAGGGGAAAAGATATCACGTCAGCAATTACTCTCAAATGAGAAAGCTGGAGAAGGATAAAGAAAACGTGATAAAATGTTAATATTTGAGAAATCCAAATGAAGGGGGTTCAGAAATTCTTGGTATTGTTTTTGTAACTTTTCTGTAAGTACAAATTTTTGTCAAAATAAAAAGTAAAAAAAAAAAAGTTGAACATAAGTAAATGATCTGAAGGATACCTATCTTGAAATCATTACGATTTAAGTCCCTCATGGTATAAATACTGTGATTCTACAATAACTATGTTTAGAAGAATAAACCATGGGATAATTCTTTAAGGCCTCTATTTGTTCCTAATATAGAGTAAATATTAAGCCATGAGTTCAAATTTACTTGAACAAATTTTAAAAGATGTGAGTTATCAAAATCATTTCTCACCTTTATTCTTTAGTTCTCCTGAAATATAAAATGTCAAACAAAAGTTTGACAAATTAAATAAATACTAAATACTTGATTTGTTAGCATATTGATTTCAGATCATCTGGATTTATAGTTAAGTTGTATTTTCATGTCTACCTATGTTAAAAAGCACTGGAAACTTCTTTATGTGAACAAATAACACAGTTTAATGATGCCTACTTAAAAAGAAGTCTATAAGAAAAGGTGTATAGTGTAGTGTGGAGAAAAGAACATTTCACAGAGACTCAGGAAACATTCTAGATAACTAGTTAAGTAATTTTATGACTTTGGACAAGTCACCTGACCTAAAAATATACAGATTGGAATGTTATAATAGCAAAACAGGGCTCCCACTATGAGTTGGACAATTTATTTAAGCTTAAATCATCTCTAAGTTCCCTTTAAGTGTCAACATTCTAACACTTGGAATATAGTGCATTTATTTTAAATGTTTGTGGAAATGTATCCTTGTGGCTGAACAACTTTTGGCCATAGCTAGGATGTATTGTTGCTACTGCTTGGGTAGGAACTCTACTGTGAAATGGGAAATGAATAGAGGAATTGCCTCTATATCCCAACACAGAGATGGATGGCCTGAGGGCTCACCCACTGGCTCTGGAAAAATGTTATCTTCCTCTTTCAGAAGGCCTACTTCCAGACGGCCTTCCCAAACTGACCACCCAAGCACCAGTTGCAATCCTCTCCTCCTCTGTCCCAGCAGCCACCCTGGAGACCCACTCTGCAGAGCTGTCTAATGTCTCTGCATTAGACGTTCAGTGCTCTGCACCTGCAGTGGCAGCTGGGTCCTGGAGGTTCCTGAAGGCAAGTGTCCAGTCTCTAGGCCCATGGTGATCTGCACACATTGGATGCTCACTCGGTACAGGAAGTACTGTAGGCTGACTATTTCAGGAACATAAACCAAACCACCATGACTAAATCAACACAGCATTTCCGGAAACAGAAGCTGAGAGAAAGAGAATGTCTGTAACCTTGCAAAAAGCTCCACCTTTCACTTAAATCTAGGGGGAAAACCTAGGTTGAAGAAGAAGAAATCTGACTCTCACCCTCATTTCAAGCCACATTCCATCAAGCCTGTCAAGTGGAGTTTTCAGGCATAGCTCCATCCAGGGCTGGGCTTGGGACCCTCCTGGTTAGAGATCTTGCCTTCCACTTTCAGTGCAACCATGGTTTGTTATAGTCCAATCTCATTTTCTTACTCTCATTTCTAGCATGCCTGGGTGTTCACATTTCTTTGAGTTTGCATATACTGTGTCTTGTCTGAAATGCCATTACCCCCAGTCTCCATAGCAAACTCATCCTTCCCTGAAAATGAACCCAAGCAGTCACCTCTCCCAGGGAGTCTTTGGCACACTCCTGAACTCCTACATTTTGTGCACACACTTGCTCCATTATAGAAAAGTTCACATTGTGTCATATTTTTGTATTGCTGTGTCTGTCCTTCATGTTACTCTACAAATGCTTTGAAATTGATAACCACATCAGTTATCCTTGGGTCTCTGGTGTTTAGCATATGTCTAGCTGCTGGCATGTTGCAAAGTAGGAGTGAGGAAGTTTAAACAGACCTCAGGTCCTAGTCTGAAGCCCTCTGCACCGTCAGAAGTCAACCTGAGGACATAAGAAACTAAAGACCAACAGAGTTTGAGGTTTCCAGCGAGTGTCTCTTGTCAATTACCAAACGCAAGGTCACTTAGATAGTAGTAGATGTAAAAGGCTGGGCTTTGAATCATTCCTTGCTGGTATAAAGGTGTCCACTCCTTTCATTTAAAGGTTAAATACTCTAACTGGCCTACACAGGAAACATCACAGGAAATCATGTTTCAGTTCAGCCTTTGCTCTAATTCAACCACAATTTCAAAATAGTGCAGATTCTGGTAGAGATTGAGAAAGCAAAACTTCTTTGTTTAGCCAGCAGCTAAGATTCTGCTTTTGTTCAGTTCTCTTCCAAAGCCCTTGCATACATATCTGATATTTCTTATCTCCCAAGGGAGTTCCTTAAGGGCAAGATTGTTTTTTGGACAAATATCTTCCTTCTACTTTGCCCCTTCCTCCCAGGCACAGTGCCTGGCCCTAGGAGGTACTTAACATCTGATTATTTTTTAAATTCAAAGCGCAATAGTCCCTGAGGTGCTTTGGGAATCTAGAGCCCTTTTCCCCATTCCCATGCCTCATTGTTAGGTGGGTGAGTGTGGTTCTAGGGGACTTTACTCTCCATTCCCAGTAAGATCCTTGCAAATATTGGAAGGAGAAAGCTTTCATCTAGAGTTCCCTGTGGTAACCTTACCCCCAGTGACTATAGTGGTTACAGAAAGCCAGGACCAAAGCTTAGCTATCACTTTCTGAGTCCATAAGACCTCAGTTATTAGTTATGGGACCTGAATTAGAAATCATTGCAATATCAAGTTTGTTTTGCAAGTCATGCAGAGTTGGTGCACGTCATATTATATTTATCAATATTCTTGTTTTGAATACTAAGGATAATTTTATTTGGGGGAAACCTGAGGATCACAGTGGTCTTCCTGCCCTTTAAAAACAACAAATCTAAGCATCTCTTAGTGGTGTCTAGCTTTTACTTCTCGAAATACAGGTTCTGAGCATGTCCTGTGTCCTTGACTCTGAGTTGGGTATTGTGATTTATATCAGTCCTTCTGTTTAGTGTCTCTGAGGAATCACAGTGGGAGTCACTAACTTTACTTTTGAAAATTTCTCAGATGAAGAAGATCTGCGTCTCCCAGCTACCTTTTAAAATAACTATGACTGTTGGTTCTCTGCTCACTTTAAAATCACAAGACAAATCTTCTGAAGATCAGCACATGTAGGAAATCTCCCCAGCTTCATCTTGTACAGATGGCTCTGGTCAACAGAAATGACCAGACCCAAATTCAAGTTCTGAAGCAATTTAAGCAAATGCCCTGACCCAAAGAGATATCAGATAATGGGAATCCAGTTAATTGAAACTCCTTCCAGCCTGATTGCCTTTTGAGGGTCACTAGAATCTTGTTCATAATTTTACTACCTGCAGTAAATATTTGCAAGAGTTTCAGGAAATTGTAGTTACTAGAGAGGTATATAGAGACTCCTAAGAAGATACCCTAGCCCACATAATATGGTTCAGGTCTCTGCTCTCAAACAAGATTAAAATATCACCAATCTTACCTTTTGCAGGCTCTTTTCCTCAGTCCTTTAGGCAGAATTGGTGATTATCAATGAGGCGCCAAGACAAGGCTGGTAACACGGATGTTGGGGCTATTTGTGTAAAAGGAGAAGTGAAGGGGGAATAAATGTGATCACACTGTGATGACAGGAAGCCCAGATGAGGAGACAGAGGAAGTGGGGCTGGGCCCGCCCTCTTTAGCCTCAAAGATATAATCCTTCCCCCGAGGCTTTTTAGAAGCTTACTCCACAACCCACCCAAATGTCTAAACCAGTTTCTCTGCAACTCAGGAAAATCTCAACGACCAAGTTGGTTCAGGCAGGAATCTGTAAGAACTGGTGAGTTCTGGGGAGATTTTGATATTGTTTTTTGTCTAGAAAAGGGCAGTGCTTCTCAATCAAGGTGACATCTCAGAATTACCTGTGGATCTGTTCAAGGATAAGTAGGCCTGACCCCACCATACTTCTCCAGTCCCATTCAGGTAGACAGACTGGAGTGGAACCCAAGAATCAATATTTTAAGAAGTTTTCTAGTACTGAGACTTAGGAATGTCTCTTAAGCCACTCCACCTTCTCTCCACCCTCCCTCCAACTATCTTCCAGAAGATCTGTAGTCTCCAGTTTGATTAGGTCACTATTTTCAGATTTCCATGTCTCAAAAGCTGGACTGTCCTTATGTAAGGGTACTGTCAGGAGCAAACTCCAAGGCACAATCCAGCGGGCACTAGTAGAAATGATTTGGTTAGTAGAGGGAGCTCCAGGTTTAGAGTCCCAACATCTGGGTTTCCGTCTCAGCTTTATTTCTGTTAGCTGTGAGATACTGAGAAACTCTCAACCTCTCAGCTTCAGTTTATTAATAGTAACATCCAATAATAATTCTATCTTCCTTTGCCCTGAGACATTAAGATTCTGGAATAACTTCTGGCCAGGGTTGGCTCATGGGGAAAGCTGAGTTAAACAAAGAAGAAAATGTTCTTTACTGCAGACTGTGCTGTGTCAGTCCTTAATATTCTCTTACATTCCCTAAATATGTAGCGTTTCCCAAACTTGTTAGATCATAGAACAATGTGTGTGTGTGTGTGTGTGTGTGTGTGTGTGTGAGGTATTTCTCAGGGAACAATTTTTCAGTGTAACTATACTTCAGGAAATGCTGTTATAAACTCTCCTCTCTTCAGCTGGCATCACATCTGAGAAATCATTGCCCCTCACCCGAGGCTGCTGTCACACTGACAGGCTGTTGAAGTGGAGTAATTGAGGAAAGACTTCTTGACGAGCTTGATTACTATCTCTCTGTGTCAAAGATTCACATCTCTATGCGCAACCTGATCTCTCACTTGAGCGCCACACAGGCACCTCAAGTACAGTATCCAAAATTCAGCTTAGTAAACTCAGCTTCCTCCCACTCAGCCTGATTTCCACCCCCTCACCCCCATTACCATCTCAGGGAAAGATTGACTAAACTCTCAGTTGCCCAAGTCAGATTCAAAGCATCCTTTTAGGCTACTCTATCTCCCACACTACCACATATTATTGCTAAAAAATGATTAAAGAAGACAATTTTGGTGACAGGAGCAAATTTTATTTAACACTTCTTGAAGTAGACAGTCTCCATTCAGAGAACTGCAAAGTGGGGCAGAAAGCAGGAAGCTTTTATAGAATAGAAAATAAAGAGCAAAGAAGAGAAAAAGAGAAAAATATCTGGTTGACTGGGGCCACATAGTCAAACTTGCTTGGGGTGAGAAGGAACAAGGAAATAAGTATAGAGCCTAGAGTTGATGTGTTGACCAGTCAAGCAAAGCATTTACAAGGACACAAAAGTTATAAAAAATTTCAGTTTGCTGACATGGCACCTGGGGCAGGAGCAGCTCCATCCTGGGCCTAAAGAATTATGTCAATGTTATCAACCAAAAAGTGTTTTAAATTATACCTTTGCCTAAATGTTTTTCAAATCAGGCTACTTCTTATCACTCCATGGCCATTACACTAATCCTTATCTCTCTCCTGGGTCACTGGATACCAGCCTCCTTCAAGATCAGCTTGGATGTTTTCTGCCTCAGTCCTGAAGAGCGCTTTTAAAAATGCATATTTAATCATGTCACTCCCCACTTTAAAACTCTTCAATGGGACAGACTCTGGGAGGGCTCACACCAAGGAGTACATCCCAGAACTTCTGCTGCCAGTGTCCTTGTCCCCACAGTGAAACAGAGCCACTCCCGGCCTCTGCAGGAGACCCTCCAACACTAGCAGCCATTTCAGGGGAAATGTAAGCAATCTGTCCTGTTCCTCTGATCTTAGCCTGGAGTTCTGGTGTCTGCAAGCACTTCTCATCTCTCAGAAAGCTGCCCCTCCAAGAGCAGAGGCAGCGAGAGGACGTGTGTGCACCAGTCCGCATGGGGAAGCAGTAGGGACAGAGCCTGGAACCACCTCCTGGTTCTCCCTCCAGAGAAACAAGGAAAAGAACTAGCAAGAGCTTGACAAACGCCTGGCTTTGAATTGGAGACCATTCACCTGCCTATTGCTTCATTCCTGGAAATTTCACTGCAACTAATTAAGGAAAAAAAAATACCTGAAAGAAAGAAAGCAAAGAAAAATATACCCAAGAAATCCTAAAGAACACAGTGTGGATGAAAGGCTCTTGGTGCTCCAGCCAGAAGTCAGTGCTGTGCCTCTGAGGTGGGAGAGCCAACTTCAGGACATCGGTCCACAAGAAACCTCCCAGCTCCACATAATATCAAATGGCTAAAATATCCCAGATATCTCCATTTCAACGCCAAGACCCAGCTTCACTCAATGACCAGCAAGCTACAGTGCTGGACACCCTATGCCAAACAACTAGCAAGACAGGAACACAGCCCCATCCATTAGCAGAGAGGCTGCCTAAAATCATAATAAGGCTACAGACACCCCAAAACACACCACCAGACGTGGACTGGCCCACCAGAAAGACAATATTCAGCCTCATCCATGAGAACACAGGCACTAGTCCCCTCCACCAGGAAACCTACACAACCAACTGAACCAACCTTAGCCACTTGGGACAGACACCAAAAACAAAGGGAACTAAGAAACTGCAACCTGAAAAAAGGAGACCCCAAACACATTAAGTTAAGCAAAATGAAAAGACAGAAAAACACACAGCTGATGAAGGAGTAAGTTAAAAACCCACCAGACCTAACAAATGAAGAGAAAATAGGCAGTCTACCTGAAAAATAATTCAGAATAATGATAGTGAAGATGACAAAATATTGGAAATAAAATAGAGAAAATGCAAGAAACATTTAACAAGGGCCTAGAAGAAATAAAGATGAAACAAGCAATGATGAACAACACAATAAATGAAATTAAAAATACTCTAAAAGGGATCAATAAGAATAACTGAGGCAGAAGAACGGATAAGTGACCTGGAAGATAAAATAGTGGAAATAACTACTGTAGAGCAGAATAAAGAGAAAAGAATGAAAAGAACTGAGGACAATCTCAGAGACTTCTGGGACAACATTAAACACACCAACATTCGAATTATAGGGGTCCCAGAAAAGAAGAGAAAAAGAAAGGGCCTGAGAAAATATTTGAAGAGATTATAGTTGAAAACTTCCCTAATATAGGAAAGGAAATAGTTAATCAAGTCCAGGAAGCACAGAGAGTCCCATACAGTATAAATCCGAGGAGAAACATGCCAAGACACATATTAATCAAACTATCAAAAATTAAATACAAAGAAAGCACATTAAAAGCAGCAAGGGAAAAACAACAAATAACACACAAGGGAATCCCCATAAGGTTAACAGCTGATCTCTCAGCAGAAACTCTGCAAGCCAGAAGGGATTGGCAGGACATATTTAAAGTGATGAAGCAGAAAAACCTACAACCAAGATTATTGTACCCAGCAAGGATCTCATTCAGATCTAATGGAGAAATTAAAACCTTTATCGTCAAGCAAAAGCTGAGAGAGTTCAGCACCACCAAACCAGCTTTAAAACAAATGCTAAAGGAACTTCACTAGGCAAGAAACACAAGAGAAGGAAAAGACCTTCAATAACAAACCCAAAACAATTAAGTAAATGGGAATAGGAACATACATATCAATAATTACCTTAAATGTAAATGGATTAAATGCTCCCACCAAAAAACACAGACTGGCTGAATGGATACAAAAACAAGACCCACATATATGCTGTCTACAAGAGACCCACTTCAGACCTAGGGACACATACAGACTGAAAGTGAGGGGATGGAAAAAGATATTCCATGTAAATGGAAACCAAAAGAAAGCTGGAGTAGCAATTCTCATATCAGACAAAATAGACTTTAAAATAAAGACTATGACAAGAGACAAAAAAGACACTACATAATGATCAAGAGATCGATCCAAGAAGAAGATATAACAATTGCAAATATTTATGCACCCAACATAGGAGCACCTCAAAACATAAGGCAAATACTAACAGCCATAAAAGGGGGAATCGACAGTAACACATTCATAGTAGGGGACTTTAACACCCCACTTTCACCAATGGACAGATCATCCAAAATGAAAATAAATAAGGAAACACAAGCTTTAAATGATACATTAAACAAGATGGACTTAATTGATATTTATAGGACATTCCATCCAAAAACAACAGAATACATATTTTTCTCAAGTGCTCCTGGAACAGTCTCTAGGATAGATCATATCTTAGGTCACAAATCTAGCCTTGGTAAATTTAAGAAAATTGAAATCATATCAAGTATCTGTCCGACAAAAACACTATGAGACTAGATATCAATTACAGGAAAAGATCTGTAAAAAATACAAACACATGGAGAGTAAACAATACACTACTTAATAACAAAGTGACCACTGAAGAAATCAAAGAGGAAATAAAAAAATACCTAGAAACAAATGACAATGGAGACACGATGACCCAAAACCTATGGGATGCAGCAAAAGCAGTTCTAAGAGGGAAGTTTATAGCAATACAAGCCCACCTTAAGAAACAGGAAACATGAATAAACAACCTAACCTTGCACCTAAAGAAATTAGAGAAAGAAGCACAAAAAACCCCCAAAGTTAGCAGAAGGAAAGAAATCATAAAAATCAGATCAGAAATAAATGAAAAAGAAATGAAGGAAACGACAGCAAAGATCAATGAAACTGAAAGCTGGTTCTTTGGGAAGATAAACAAAATAGATAAACCATTAGCCAGGCTCATGAAGAAAAAAAGGGAGAGGCCTCAAATCAATAGAATTGAGCTATTTGTAATGAGGTGGATAGACCTAGAGTCTGTCATACAGAGTGAAGTAATTCACAAAGAGAAAGACAAATACTGTATGCTAACACATATATATGGAGTTTA